GCAACCGCACGCAGCCTCAAATCTTACCTTCACCATGCCCAAGGAGAACAAGAAGCGCGGCCGTCGTGAGCAGCACAAGAAGCGCAAGCGCGACCACGACGACCACGACGACCACGATGCCCCTCCCAAGCGCCTCAAGAACGAGACGGTCACTGAGGAAGATGCCCCTGCACCCGAGGACGTCGTCTACCAGGACGAAGCCATTGACGGCGTCACCCGTCCCGGTGACATGCCCTTCTTCGGCATGCTCGACGAGGACGAGCAGGGGTACTTCAAGCACGCCGACGAGATGCTCGAGCTGAACCAGTTCGAAGCCCCCGAAGAGCGCAAACTTTTTCTCGAGCGCGTCTACAAGGAAGCAGAGGGCAAGGAATTGAAGATTGCGAACAGCCAGTCGTGTTCACGGTTGATGGAGCGCTTGATCCTTCTCTCCACACCAAAGCAGCTCAAGGATCTGTTCCAGAAATTCAGTGGGCAGTAAGTAGATACCTGCGTCGCACCTTCCGTGCCCTACTAACCCTCCTAGATTCGTCCACCTCGTGCAGCACCGATTCGCCTCCCACTGCTGCGAAGCCCTCTTCATTCGAGCCGCCCCCGTCGTGACGCAAGAACACACCAAGCCCGAGACGCTGCAAGCACCTCCCTCTTCCGATCCCAATGAGGTCTACGTCTCCATGGAGACCCTTTTTCTCTACACACTGGACGAGCTAGAGGCGTATCTGGGCTATCTCATGACGGACCGCTTCGCCTCGCATGTCCTCCGTGTGCTGCTCGTCGTGCTTGCCGGAGCTGCCCTCGAGAAGGAAGATGCCAAATCCGCCATTCACAGTAAGAGGAAGGAAAAGATCAACGTGTCCGGGACAGACAGCACACGGGAATACACTTTGCAGAAGCGCGCAGTGCCACAATCATTCCTCGATGCACTAGAAAAGATCATCAACGTCAGTGTTGCTGCCCAGGATACCAGCTACCTCCGTCTTCTCGCAACCCACCCTACCGGCAACCCGACGCTGCAGACACTGTTGAAGCTGGAGCTCACGCAATTCGGCAAGTCGCGAGCAAAAGACGAAAAGTCGCTGATCCACAAGCTCCTTCCCGATAATCCCATCAAGGAAGGGACGGAGAGCGCATCCTTCATCAACGGCCTCGTCTACGACACTGTCGGCTCGCGTCTGTTGGAAACCATTATTGAGCATGCTCCTGGCAAATTGTTCAAGGTCATTTATGCAGAATTCTTCAAAGAGCGCATGGGAAGCTTGGCGCGGAATGAGATTGCTGGTTACGTTGCCGGTAAGATTCTGGAGCGACTTGGAAAGGACGACCTTGAACAGGCCATGCGGCAGATTGCAGAGCAGATCCCCGGCTTGGTAGAACGCAATCGGACGTCCATCATCAAGACGCTCATTGAGCGCTGTGCAGTTCGGGACGTGGACACGCTCCCGATCAAGACTCAGCTCGAAGCTGCATATGGCGGCTCCAAGGGCTTTGAGATCACGCGCATGCTTAAGCTCGGAGAGGCTGATGATAGCAAATCTACCAAGCAAGAGCTTGCATCACTCGACAAGGTTCACGGTTCACTTCTTGCTCAGACTATGATGACAGTGCCCGGCCCCCTAGGCAATCTCGTCTTCGAATCATTCATGGATCTCGGCGAGCAGTTGACGCTCAGGATTGCACGCGACCCAGCAGCATCACGCACACTACAGGCAGCTTTGACATCACCCAATGCAACAACCATCTTCCGCCGCAAAGTCATCCAGCAATTTTACGGCCATGTTGGCGAGCTCGCTCTCGATCCTTCTGGCTCGCACGCTATCGACGCCATATGGGAAGGCACACAGGGGCTTGCCTTCATTCGCGAGCGCATCGCCGAGGAGCTGGTGGAGAACGAAGCAGCCATGCGTGAATCTCACGTTGGCCGCGCAGTATGGCGCAATTGGCGGATGGACCTGTATAAGCGTCGTCGCGCAGACTGGGTCAAGCAGTCGCGTTACGCAGCCGGCAATGAAGGCTTCCAGTCCTTCCCGGAAGGCAACGGCGAAATGCCTCCTGCGGTGCAGAGCCAACGGGCTGGTCGACATATGACGGCAATCGAATTGGCACGCAAAAAGCATGCTGAGGCAAAGGCGAAGAAAGAAGCGGCGGCAAATAGCAATACTGACAGCAAGGGAAAAGGAAAAGCGCCCGTCGTGGCGCACTAGATAGACTGGAGAGGTTCGTATCAGCGCAGCATTTACAGGTTGGGTGGGGACTGGCATCGGACTTAGCAAAAATCGTTACTTAATTCAGGATAAAATACCGGCGAAATTTGTCTGGCCGAAGCGTGGGGTATCCTTGAGGTCATTACTCATATTTAAGTGCATGGCGACATACTTGTCGCAACATCATCACCGTGCAACATTCTTTTCAAGTCGTATTCTTATCCTTTGATCTTCCTTCGTCGCTTTTTCTTTGTAGTTTGCATAAGTTTCCAGCATGGTCGAAAATCATACCAACGGTTTCGAGACACCGCTCAACAGAGCTGAAGAAGTGAAAGAGGTATGTCTCCATTTCCGATTTCGAAAGTTCTTTTTCCGTATCATGTCCAATCACGAGACTTTCGAATCCAACCTTTCAACTCATCAAGGCGGGCTGACCGTATTCCGACACAGCTTCTGGACGCCGTCCAAGAACTGATCATTCCCTTTATCCGTTCCGCAGATGAAGATGCCGCGACAAAGCACACTGGCCACGGTCTCGTTGTCGAGGGTGGAGCACCCAGAACCGCCCTTGTCGAATATCATCCACCCAAGAAGCTTGAAAGCATTCTGCAAGGCACGCTCCAAGTAAAAGAGGAAAGAGGTGGGAAGGAGGGATTGCTATACGTGGTGAAGAATCTGCTGGGGTTCAGTGTGAATACATGGGATCAGGGGTTCATGGACAAGCTGTATGCGAGTACTAATGCGGCGAGTTTTAGAAGGCAGACATTGGGTGAGAAGAAACTAATAGTAATGCAGGTTGGATTGGTTTCGGAGCTATTGCTTGCTACACTGAACACGAACGTATGTCTTGATTCCCGATCTCTGTACTGGTTACTAACAGAAACCAGGCACACGTCTACCAAGTCTCACCGGCCCTAACCCTCATCGAAAAGCACACCACAAAATACCTCGCTAACCTCTTCGGTTTCCCACCCGCAAACAGCGGCGGTATCACCCAACCTGGGGGCTCGGCCTCAAACTCCACCGCCATAGTAATCGCCCGCAACACCTTGTATCCCGAGACCAAAGAGAATGGAAATGGAACCCACAAATTCACCCTTTTCACCTCAGCCCACGGCCACTACTCACTCGAAAAAGCCGCCCAAATGTTCGGCCTCGGCTCCAAAAACGTCATCTCCGTCCCCGTCAACCCCAGAACCGGCCAAATGCTTCCCTCAGAACTGGAGCGCTTGGTCACGGAATCGAAAGATAGAGGAGAAACGCCCTTCTTCGTCAACGCCACAGCAGGCACCACAGTCCTAGGTTCCTTCGACCCCTTCCCCGCCCTCTCAGCGATCTGCAAACACCACAACCTCTGGCTCCACATCGACGGGTCCTGGGGCGGCTCCGTCGTCTTCAACGCCGACTACCGCTCCACGCGTCTCAAAGGCGCCGAGCTCGCCGACAGCATAGCCGTGAACCCGCACAAAATGCTAGGAACACCAATGACCTGCTCCTTCCTCCTCGGCCGCGACCTGCGCCAGTTCCGGAAAGCCATGACGCTGCCCGCAGGCTACCTCTTCCACAACGCGAGCGACGACGCCTCGGCAAACGACATCTACGACCTCGCGGACCTGACGCCGCAGTGTGGCCGCCGCGCAGACTCGCTCAAACTCTTCCTCGCGCTGCAGTACTACGGCCAGCGGCATTTCTCCGACCTGGTCGCCACGGCGTACGAGAACGCGGAGTTTCTCCAGGCTCTGCTGAAGCGGAGCCCGCACTTTGTGCCCGTCAGTCCCGAGCCGTTGCCGTGCTTGCAGGTGTGTTTTTACTTTGCGAGAGGGGGGGAGCTGGGGCCGGATACGGAGGCGAATGGGAGGGTTACGGCCGAGGTTGCGAAGCGGTTGATTCCGAGGGGGTTTATGATTGATTTCGCGCCGGGGGAGAGGGGTGAGTTCTTTCGTGTTGTGGTGAATGGGGGGACGAGGAGGGGGACGCTGGAGGGGCTTGTGAGGGCTATTGAGGATGTGGCGGGGGAGTTGGGGTATTGAGGGGACTTCTTTTTGGTAGGGATTGGGGTGGTTGGATTGGCTTGGGTTGGGGAAGGGTGGTGTGGATGGGGGAGGAGTGCGTGTTTAGAGTTGGGGGATGTTTGGCTTTAAGGGAGAGGAGAAGATTAGAGTATAGATGGCGCCGTTTTCATAGAGAGGCGTTCCACGAACATTGTTCTAGAATAGAGAGATCGTTCATTAGACTGAATGATTTTCTCTTACTACTACAACACACACTACCCGTGCGTATTAACAACAGCTGTCAGAACCATTAAGGACTAAACTTCTTACAACGCAACTGTGTTATAAAAAAATTCTCTATTTATTTCCTCCCGGTTAACATGACTCGGGTATTACAGGATCGTGAAGTGGAAGTGGAAAAGCCATCACGTTCGTGCTCGGCAAAAATGGCCCTGACCTCAAACTCTCCACTGCAAACTATAATAACTAGTTACATAAGAGTAAATCAATTTCACAAGGATATCTATCTTCACTCATAACATACATAGTCGCTCGCGCTTTCTTTCAATAATCCAAAACAGAAATAGAAATGGAAATCCCAGTTCAACCCCCCGATAAGCTCTAAGCCCGCCACTCACCACGTACCCCTCCTCCCGTCCCGTGCCCCACTCACCCCTCACCCACCCCTCGCTAACCCAATTTTATTTTCCACTCACACGTCATCCCCTAAGCCATCATTAAAATCTAGCACAGCACAACATTATATATATTTCCCCCCACGCCATATCTCCATCAATCAATACAAATATCTTTGATGGTCTAGTGGTTATGATTTCCGCTTGTCAATGATGGCGGTTAGCTGTCTAACAAGCGCGGGAGACCGGGGTTCGATTCCCCGTCAGAGAGCTTATGGGAAGATTCTTTTTTTCTTCTCTTCTTCTTCTTTAGAGGGGTGGTCTGGTTTTTTTTTTTTGGGGTGGGTTTTGGGAGAAGAAATGATGGAGGGCATACAAATTAACCTCGGCGTGGGAATATGGAATATGGAATAAGCTGTTAGCTGCTACAACTAAGCATCGCGTCGCTGTTGATGCTGAAAGGATTAAGACCGAGCGAGTATGACGTACATGTGCATACCGAATACCCACCCCCTGAGACGAGTTCTGCTGAGTATAATTATTTGTCGCCTTATGTTTCTGCCATTTTAGTACTGGAAGAAGGTCTGCATAAGGGATGGGCAGGTGGAAGGCAGGTATTCTTCATAGGAGGGGACTGGTTGAGGATATCCAGGAAGGAGGGCAATGGACCTGGGGATTGAAATGGGTTGCGATAAACTCTGCTTGGAGCAGTAGACTCATGCATGTATAACTATGCAACTCCCATAAGAAAGAAGCACTAAAATGATAACCAGGGTATACGTTGCGTAGAAAAAGGAAGGGACATGGGATGCACAAGTCAACATATGGTATCATTCCTCTAAACTACACTCCCCTCTCTGGAATCTAATTCCTCAGGGTGATCTAGCCCCTCGCCCTACACCACTCGCACAAAGAACATTTCTAACCGCCCCACTCATACCAGCCCCCAGATATAAGACCATAGCGATACATGTTTCAGTGGTCTCATTTCCTGAGCCCAGATATGCTCTACAGCGAAGCCATGCAAAAAAACCCCCCCGAGATATGACTAGTATAGAGGAAAATAAGACGCCGCGCTTAAACCCCCCGTGAGTGATCATGGTTCGTGACAAATCGGATCGGCCGTAGTGTTGCCTCGTAGTACTCAGCTCACCCAGCACCCAACAGCATAACAATGACATGGAAAAGATAAAAGGTAAAGATAAAGAAAGACGGCAGGCATTGGGTATATGTGCGAATCGACCGTAGATGGATGGTAAAAGGGGTATACAATGAAAAGAAGGATCTGGAAACGGATCCCAGAGAGGCAGTTGGTCTGGCGCAGATTCCTCATTGGAAAGCACCTCGGATCTTGGCGTAAAGCTCCGTATCTAGGAAGTTGTAGTTGGGGTCGGAGAAGCAGAATGGTGAGCGGAGGAGAGTCTCGGCAGTAGGTCGTTCGGTAGGGTCACTGTAAGTTATTAGTACAAAGGTATTGGCCGGGGGACACAGAAGACTTACATGGTGAAGCAGTCATACATGAAGCTGAGACCCTCCACTCCAATCACTCTTGACACGTCCTCGGGAATCGGAGGAGCCTGGTTCAGACTACCCAGCTTGTAAATAGCACCGATAGCCTCTTCCTTGGACCACGGCCGCTTGCCTGCGAACATCTCGAGCACGACGCAACCGAGCGACCAAATATCGACTTTGGCCGAGTATCCCTGGCCTTGCGAGCGAATGACCTCAGGCGCCATCCAGAAGACGGAGCCTTGCATGCTGTTGGTAATGTCGTTGCCATAGATATTGTCCGTCTTTTTCGAGATACCGAAATCGGAGATCTTGCAGGTGCCGTCGAGGTCAAGCAGGATGTTGTCGGCTTTGAGGTCGCGGTGCAGAATACCTTCCCTATGTAGGTACGATAGGCCGCAGAGCGTTTGTCGGGTAAGAGAGCTGACGACGCATTCTTCGAATTTGCCGTGCTTTCGGATGCAGGAACCAACAGAGCCACCGCTGATATACTCCAGGAAGATGGAGATACTATACTCCTTGCGCTCACACCCAAGATACTGCACAATATTGGGGTTGTCCAAATGCTGCATGGTATCGATCTCTTGATCCAAGCTCTTCACCAGTTCCTTGATCTTGTCCTTGTCTGACCCGGCGGCTTTGGCATTCACTTCGACTTGCTTGACAGCTATCAGTTCACCAGTTGTAATGTTCATACCGAGATAGACACGGCCGAATGTTCCCTTTCCGATCAACTGACCCTTCATCCATTTGAACGTTGGCTGTCGTTGGGGCGCCATGAGATGATCCTGTGGTATGGTTTCCAGCTGGATCAGCCTGGATCCTCGCGGAGGCTTGACTTGTTCGATCTTCGCGTGGAACATCTTCGTCGACTTCCTGCGAACAATATCCCCACCACCACGGAGTGTTTGAACGCGAGACGGTCCTGCAACAGACGGCGGGCCCTGGCCTGGGTGAGGCTTCTTTTCCAGGGGCAGATATTGCGACTTGACGACCTCACGAATAGACTTGGTCCTTCCAAGACCCACACCCGACTTTCGAATGCTACGCTGAGCCATAGATTGGACTGAAGCTCTGTTGAAAGTGGAGCCGAGGGTGCTAGCATCGTTATAGGAAGATATTGGCGTCACGGGTCGGATGCCGTTTGAAAAGTCGCTGGGGGCTTCAGTCACGGTGTCCGACTCTGACTCATCTTCTTCTAGAACAGGTTGATCCAGATTGACGTTGGGGAAGAGCTCATCGAGGTGCTCAACCAGCGCTTCTGCTGGTGGTCGATTGGCCCAGACATCACTGGCGAATGATTCGCGGCGCGAAAATCTATTCGACTCATCCGGAGAGTCGGTACGCGTCGATGTGGCCGATTCCGGAAGGAAGTCGCTTGGAATGGACCCGCGTGTATCATCCGTCCTTGCACTTTGATCGCCTGATCGATCCGCAACTCTATCCAACGAATTCTTTGAGCGCGATGTCTTGAGTGTAAGCGAAGGGCGCTGACTGCGAGAGTCACTTGGTGTTGTCAGGCCAGTACCATCCGATGTGGGTTCGCCCGACTTCGCTAGAGGCATAGCGAACAATCCTTCGTCAGAGTCGTCATCGGAATCGTCCTCGTCGACGACCATTGGTCCTTTGACGTGGAACGACACTCTCGCCTCTTCAAAATCGTGCGTAGGTCCCCAAACCGAGAGCCTGGAAGATTCTCTTGAGAGAGCTGATGGCGGTGGGTGCGCTGAATGGGGGCTAACGTTAGGCGAGTTTGTTTTGAAGGCCTGTTCGTCCTTGAGTTTAGATACGGTCGGGTGTGGTGCGCTCGGCATCTTCAGCGTCAGGCTGGGCCTATCGAGAGAAATATCGTCGGGAACATCTTCCTCATAGTCAGGTATCTTGAACGGCACGTTGCCTTTGCTCATTGTAAGAGACCCAGGACTGCGAGGTGACCCACCTGGACTATTCCTACCTGACGCAGACACTGATCCAAATCCACTTTCATGTAGTATCCGCTGCGACGGGCGCGTTTTCTCTGGTGAAATCTCTCGGGCGTCTTTTGGTGGAGGTTTCGGGGGCGCCTTGTTCGCAGCTCCGACCGAGCTTCCTATGGAACCTGCTCCAATGATGGCTGCAGCGATGCTAGATAGACCACCGGTTGGGCCTGTAGGGATCGCCTTTCGTTTCGACAATTCACTCTCGGCTTGCTTCGCCTGCTCTTCCTCGCCTTCTGGCCACGATGTCCGATCTGCCTTGTTCTTGGTAAGTGAATTGGCCATGAGCAGAGTGCTTGAGTTGGCAGGCGCAGGTGGAGGCTCTCTGAGCGGAACCAGCTGTTTGCTCTTCCTTCGCTCATCGAATGGCTTCTTGGAGTCATCATAGGGTGATTCGCGAGGCTCATCGAAGTCGATGACACCCGGGCTTCGAATAGCAAAATCTCTCGACGACGACGACGATGGCTTGGGGGACTCCTTCCGAATTTTGCCTTGCCGGGCTGTCAAGTAAGCTTGTTGCTTTCGTCGATTTTGACGTTGGTGTTCTTCGGCAGCGGCTTGGAGCATCTTCTGCCGTTCGTCTTCGGGGAGATCATCGCCTACAGCCCAGGACGGCTCGGGCGCTCGTCCACCTCCGTTCAGCCGTTCTGCAACAGCCTCTGGTGTCAACTCGTCCCTCTGTGCCTGATTTCGTAGCGCAGCGGCCTTGCTAGGAACGAGTGTCGACTCGCCAGACTTCACATCAGGTGAATCTAGTTGAGAAGATTCATTGAGACGAGCGTAAGTAGCCTCATCAATTGGCTTCCCAATCAGTGGTGGAAACGACACTCCCAGTCCAGCAGATGGCGGCACTGTGATGTCGCGCGGAACCTTGACCAAAATTTTAAGATCTCCAAGTCGGTTTCCGTATTGTGTACGTGCCTTTAACAGCTTTGAGTCAGTCAATGGATCATCATGCTCATTTTGGCCTGGGGAAGTCAGGTGCAATTGCACGCCAGGCATTTGACCCAAGCCTGAACTGAGCTCCTCGCATAGCATTTCCCGCAGAGCCGCAGCGGATGATGCTCTGGTAATGTCCACAAGTCTGTAGTTCCAGCCGTCTGGCGTGATGAAGGCAAATTTCCGGTCACTTTCTTTTGTTGATGCGCCTCGTCCGCGACCCACTGTACGGCTTTCCGAGTCAGTTTGAACAGAGCGTCGTGATGGCGGACGGTCTAATGAAGTTTCGCTCGAGTTCATGCCGGAACGCCCAAACAATGCGCCTCCCGCCAACTGACGGTGGCTGACAGGACTCGCAGGTGATTCCATGCTCGTGTCGTCTGGCGATGGCTCCTCCTCCTTTCTCTTCTTCTTTTGCATGAATTTCGACATGAAGCCTTTGTGATCTTTGGCGCTTGTTGGGATCTCCGCACTGTCGTGCCTTGACATACCCGTTCCAGGACGTGAACCATCGTACCCCATTCTCCGGTCACTGCGACTTTCAGATCGGCCATCGAAAGATCTGCCCGAAGATGGCGCAGATCCATGGTGTGAACCGGCTGTCGCAAACGTGGAAATGACTGATTCGGAGCTGTTGTCACGATTGTGGCTATAGTATCGGGGTGCCGAAGTGGCTGAACCTGCGCTGAGTTGGCCTCCATTCGTCGCTAGGCGAGCTGACGGAAGACCAGGGCTGTGCTGCGGGCTTGCTTGTCTCAGTGCTTCACGATGATTCATTGCACTGAAAGATGATGGCGCGAACTCTCCCGAAGCGTTGGGGCTGTGACGCTTGGGCTTCGTATCCAGG